GGTTTCTCCAATCTAGCTTGAAATCTCACCTTGGTTTACTAATGAGAAGGAAACGAGAGAAGAAAATGGAAAAGAAAATAAAAGAGGATATTTTTGCGTGGAATTTTCTGGAGAATGGGAAGGTTTATAACCTTAAAATAGGCTAGGGGTAAATATTTATCTAGGTCCCTCTCATTTCCTATTTAATTTAAAACTATCACTAAACTTAACTTTTGGGCCTATCTTAGGCCCAATACCCTTTATAATTGGTCTAGAATTGATCTATTTAATCTAATAAGCTCTAATATATGATTTCGGGTTGGTCGAAACTACTGACTCGGGTTCCGGAGCATTACAATAAGCATGGTGTTAAAAGTCCTCAATTGGCACATCCTCTCTCCATAAATTATGAATCCAATACTTATTATGAGCAAAATTCCACTTTCTCCTCTCCTAAATAGAAATTGTTCGATAAAGAAAAAACTCATCCAATTTCACTTATGAAATTCTTAAGATTTATTATAACATATAAAGATTTTTTTTTTGAATAGTTTGAGTTGATTAGAAGGTAATATTTGTTTAGAACTTGTTTAATCTATTGATAATGTACACACATCTTGTATATGTCGATGCTTGAACCTCAAATTTTTAGAAAAATCAATATTCTCTTCCAATACTGAGACTATTTGATGGGTTGATAACGTATAAATTTCTTTTTGAACCAGGTAACATATAAAAATTTAAATTCACAATTACAAGATTTCTGAATCAAAACAAACAATACATTTCATGTGAGTCTTTATGATAAAAATATTTAGGGTTAACTACATGATTGATCACATATGTTTATATTTTGTCCATTTTTCTCCACTAATTTCAAAAAACATAAGAGATGGTTACTTTCATTTTTATTTTATTAAGATATGGCCACTTTCATTTTAATTTAATTAAGATATGGTCAGCACGAGTTAATTGTCGTTAAAAGTTAACAGATTAGGAGACGTGATATTTTGTTATAATCACTCATTTGGTCCATGTTATTTGCATATTTTCTCAATTTAATCTTAATTTTTAATAAATTACGAAATATTTAAATTATGTTATCTATGTTAGACCAAATATTGGTCTTGGTCTCTCAAGGGATCTACATTCAAATCTCTTTAGTCCCAATTTATTAAAAGTATGATTAAATTGAAAGAATATATAAATAAAAGGGACCAATTATGTAATTATATAAAAAAATTAACAACAATTAACTCGTAGTGAAAGTGGTCATATATTATATTTTTTGAAATCGATAAAGAAAAATAGATAAAACACAAGCATAAATAAATGATAGTTAACTCAAATATTTAAAATTTAACTCATCGTGATTACTTGTGCTTAATAAGGTTTCATACAAGCCAAGAGCCACCTTGTATTGATTCAAAGGTGTGGATTCGTTGAGCTTTCAATTTTTAGGTGGGTCGGGAGTTTCTTTTATTTTGCATTTAAACCTACCTTATCAACATCCTTCCATTATCCATCTTTTATGATATTGAATCTCCCTCTTTGTTTTTAAATTCAGGAAAAAAAATCCTCCAATTACGTTTCATTTTATTATATTTAAAGTGTTTAAGATAAATATTTAAACCTATATTTTCACCTTCCCAACGGTAAAACCCAAGTTAATAGCTTAATTCTCATCATGGTGAGAGTTTTGTCGTATTGATTTCTTTTTGGTTAATTACTTTTGGCCTTGCTTGTTAGACACTCACTATTGATCGATTTCATCTTTTCAAAAGATTAATTAAATTACATGAGACGTGAATTATTTGGCGAATTTAAAATTTAGGTTGTTTCAAAAATAATTATTTCCTAAACCCATAGGCTAAACCAAAAGAGAAAAATATAAAAAAAAAAGAAGATTGAAAAATGGTTAAATTAAGGATATATTATAGTTTTCTCTCGTTGATACGTTATTTATCTCATTTTCCTTTTATCTTTTTTGATCGGCGATTACACCAGCTTTAATATTAGTTGTCGACCGTTAGTATTGTTTATTGTCTTTTTATTTTTCAATTTTCAATAAGTTTGCATGTATGACACGTTTTCATCTGCGTTTATAGCATTTTTTTCTTCTGCCTTTTGGAACCTTTTTCGATATTTAGACCGTTGTTTTCACTTATCGTTTTTCTAAGGGTGAATTTGCTATAGTCACGATTGATAAGATGACGTTTATATGTTATATTGTTGATCTTCTCGGACCATCATATTAGATTTGGATGCTCTTTATTTTTTCGTAGATAGCTTTTTACATCACTTGAGTCTGATTTGCGGTTTGTATATGGTCTTTAATTAGTTTTATTCTCTTTTGCGGTTCGTTTGTCAATGCGATCAGATTTGTTTATATCTATCTTTGTTCGAGTTTCTTGATTAGGCTTTAATATTTCCTTGTATGATTCTTATATCATCTTGAGTTACTAGTTTTCTTTTAGTTATTATAGAAAAATATCTTAATTATATGTTTAATTTATGATTATAATAAATTTTTTATTTCGAATAAAATTAGTGATTTTTATAAAAAAAAAATAGAGATATGTAATAGAAAAAAATTTCTTATTTGAAAATATTTAGTCTACTGAAAGATAAAATTTTCAGTCTAATAATTCTTATATAAAAGAAAATTTTAAAACTAAGACTTCGTGTGAGGCAGCAACTTTTTTATGTGGGTCTACTTGTAATTTCATAAAGCACATCTTTATTCATTCTAAAATAAATGATTGCCTTTTAAAAAAATTAGAAATAATTGTAATTTCAATTTTTTCGGTGTATTTAGGTAAAAGTGCAGAGCAATAGATGATGGTGGGGAATCAAATCAATTCACACTTGGTACTGGGCCTCGTGCATGGCAGACACAGACAGCGATGCTCAAATATTAAATTTGATTTTGAAGAAAATATATCATTCCGGATGCAGTATAATATGATATTAAAAAATACTTGAATTATAAGTGTAAAACCTACGGTTGATATAAATAAGTACAAGAAAGAATCTAGGGTACTTAAAATGTCTCTTAAAAAAACATAGTTTTCTTCCGTTGGTGACTTGGATTGGATTTGGATACCCGATTTGTGTTCGTGGATAGCTTTTCACACAACTCAAGTCTGATTTGCGATTTGTCGACAGTCTTTCGATAGCTTCATCCCTTTTGTGGTTCGTTTACCGATGCAATCAGATATGTTTGTATCTATCTTTGTTCGAGTTTATTAGATATATTTAATCTTTCCTGGTATGTTCCTTATGTGATCTTAAGTTACTAGTTTGTTTCAGTAATTATAGGAATTTTTTTTAATTATGTGCTTAAATTACGATTGTGATTGTAAACATTTATTGTAATTTAGGATATTTACAATTTTGAATAAAATTAGTTACTTCTATAAAAAAAAATATAAGTACAATAATGTATTAAAATTTATATGTATGAATCAAGTGATTTCAGTAGTAAAAGAATTATTGTTATTCTTTGATATTCTAAATATGAGCATTATAAATATCAGGGGTATGAGAGTTATCTTTGAACATATTAGTGGCGGAACTTGATAATAGAGTTTGGGGAGGTCAACTTAAAACTTTAAAAAAATTAGAGGTTTAAATTATTATTTTTTAATTTAAAGGATTAGTTTACATTTTAACCCAAAAAATTAGGGGCTAACTAAAATATTTGAAATTTTGAGAGGTTTAATGAGATTTTTTAAAAAATTACGAGAGGTGTTTAATTAAGAATATTAAAAAATTAAATTTAATTTGAATTTTTAAAAATTTTGGGAGGTAAATTAAAATAAAATTTTAAGGGTATAAATTATAATTTTTAAATTTTGGAGGCATGGCCCCACTGGCCTTCTTATATTCCGCCTGAAACATATAATATCTTATTAGTATAATGTACATTAATAAAAAAAAGCATACGAATATACAAAGGTTTTCCATAGTCTATAATATAAATTCATGCTAAGAATGTGTTAGTACATGAAATCTAGGATCATTTAAGTTAATCTTAAATTTAGAATTACATTTTTTTATATTCTAATATAAATAAAAATTTAAATTAAAAATATGATATTACTAGTAGTGTCAAAACCTGATAATATAAACATAATTTTGTTTTTTTAGAGAAAATTTAGGTTAGGGGTGACTCCTCAGTCTAGGACCAGGATTTACTTAATAATTTACAGATTGTCCATCAAGAGTGACGGTGGTAGGATTCAAATTTAGCCTTACAAACTCAAATTCATGAATCTCATCCACTTATATCAATACTCATTGACAAACATATTTTTGTTATCACATATACCAAAATTATATAAAGATATAATAACATAAATTTATTGAATGATCTTAATAATAAAAAATAATATTATTTTTTAAAAAAGCTTAAATTTATAGGATGTGTTTACTTTATTGATAACTAAGAAAATACTGAATACAATGGATTTGCAAAGATTTGGGAAGGGAGATGGGGTGATTAACTTTATGGAGTGGAAAGCCATAAATGGGGGAGTTGGATGATTACTTCCAACGCCTGCAACAGATATATGGAAAGATGCCGAACCCATAATAATTCACCGAATTCTTGTATTTCCACATGCCCCTTCAATCACGCTTTCAATCAGTATATTCCACATTTTATCCTCTATAATTTATGTCTTTTTCAATATGGACCTCAATAAGTATTAAGTAATGATCTAATGCTCATAACTTCACTTTCTGCTTCCTCTCTATGCATATATACAATTCACTTCTCATTTTTCATGTTTCGGATTTAATATCTAACGTAATAAAAATGATTTTATTTTATAATTTATTTTATGTTTTGGTCATGGATAAACAAAAGATTTGAATACGAGGGATTATGATTTTCGAGATGAGGTACAAATCGATTTTTATCCGATCCGGATCGATTTTTTATCCGACTTTGTGCATGTCTATTTCTAACCTAAACTCTTTTTTGTTAAAATAATACCTAATAAAATTGCGCAAGCTTTAGAATCAAAATGAAGTTCCACAATAACAAAACAGATCCCTTTTCACATTGCACACATTGTCATCCCATCTTTATCAATATATAGAAAGATCAAATAAAACCAAAATCCCAATTAACTAATAAAAAAATATAAAAATAAATCCCAAAGCTTCTAAATTTATAAATTAAAATTTCAACAACAACAAAATCCGAACACACTCTCCTTTGTAGTCTTCAATCAGAGTAAGCCTTGGTCTTGGATCGATAAAGAAGCTTCTTCTTCTTTGATGTTTGATTATCAATGGTGAGAACAACTTTCCCAGACTCACTGGTTTTGAAGCTATCGGAAATCACGGTTTCATCCGCGGACGATACTTTCCTCACTTTCGACAAGATCACGGTGTACCCATCTTCAGCCGTCGGCACGAATTCGGCACCATAACTGACATTCCATCCCACAACTCGGAGCTCCCAAACCAGATTACACTTCTGGAAATTCAAGCAGCAAATATAGTTCCATATATTGAAGTCGTATTTACTAATTGTACAAATGTTTTCATCATACCTCTGTTATCGGGAATTCAATGGTGTGCTTGGTTGCTGGCTTGATTGTCACCTCTGTTACGGCATCCACCACCGTGAACTCTTGTTCACCCTCTCTACTCAGTCCACCATATTGAACCGGGACTTGTTCAGGATCAATATATCTGTTTTTTTTATATAGAAAGAAATGAGCAATATATCCATGTATGATCAAACAAGGAAATGATTGGAAACCCACTTACTTGAAGAGGGTTTCAGTAGATTTGGATGGACCTGCACACACAAACTTGCTCTTGGTTCTCTGAGTCAGAAAAGGACTGATCATCCTGTTGAAAGCCAAGTACCACCATGGAACATTGATGAACACCTTCAAAATCCAAAACCCATCATCGATGACGACTCAATTTTTAGCAAGAAATTACAGAATATATATAAGGAGTTGAATCATACTTGTTTGGCCACAAATTCTGGATAGTTATCCTGCAGCAAGTTGAGGGCTTGATTAGTGGCTTGTCTAAGCTCTTTTTTGGCCGGTCCAGGTGAATTCTTGAGATCGTTCACTTGAACGATTGTGTTGATGCCATTAGGAGTGAAATCAAGTTTACGAATGCTCTTTTCCAAGAACTGAATCCTCCATCTCAAGAACTTGGCTCGTTTTTCTTCATCAGCAAAAGTATTTTGATACATCTCCTTGTTCTGGAATACTCCATACACATTGTAGCAGACGGGATGACCTTCTTTATCGAATCCGTGCATGAAAACTACTTTTTCTAATTCATTTCCTAAATCTTCATCAAGCAGGGAATCGATACCGAATTCTTTTCGCCAACGGACAGTGTTTTTTATCATGGTGAATGCGTCGTTTACCTTGAAATCTCTTGCCCTCAGGAATTTCAACAGGATCACATCGCTTTTCTCGTCTGCCAAGAACGGAATTCCCCATATAGAGACCTCCTCGGCCAGTGGCGGTGTAACTTTAGCTTCTTTTGTCTCCTCGGTTTGAGGAGCAACTTCAACGGCGGCCTCCTCTGTTTCTGCGGGAGGAGTGGCGACTGATACTACAGACTCCTCGATTGCCTCCACCGTCTTGGCGCCGTCATCGTCTACGGCTGTCACCTTTTCAACCACTTCAGTTACCACGGCCGCCGCCTCGACAGTCGGCTTATCAGCTGGAGGTGGTGGAGGAAGAGTTTTCTCTTCTTCCTTAACTTCAACAGAGGCGAGTGCTTCCGTTTCCACCTTTGACTCCTCTGAAATTTCAACAGCAGCAGCAGGTTTCTCTTCCTCTACCTCTTCTTTCTTTTCTTCTTCTATTTTTCTCTCAGCTACTGGTTTTTCTTCTTTGGCAGTGAATTCGTGCTTGTTAAGCGCTTCTTGAATGAGCTGTTTAAGCTCATCAAGAGCCTTCTTTTGAGCCCCGGGTAGTTCACCAACGACATTAGTTTCTTCTTTGAAAGAAACCGATTCAGTAATCGTACTCTCTTCAACCTTGGCCTTCTCATCAATTTCAACAACAGCTTCTTCCTTTTCTTCTTCAACAACAGCAACAGCTGCAGGCTTCTCGGGCACCTCAGGCTCCGGAACGGGAGCAGGCGGTGACGGTTGTGGTTCCTTCTCGGCAACTTCAGGCTTCTCCACCACCACAGTAACTTCCTCAGCCGGAGCAGCGGCTGACTTTTGGGTCTTCTCGGCCATGGATATGAGATGATGACGATAACAGAGATTTTTTTTTTGAAAGATGAAGAGTGGGATTAAGATTGGGAGAGGAAGGGAGAGCTTAAAATGGAAGAAAAAGATAGAAACAGAGTGTCCGAGTCGAATGACAGACTAGCTATTAGCTCACAGTAACAAGGTGAGTTTGACTGAATATGCCTTCTAATTCCAAACCGCTGTCTTTGCCAATGGCCACTCCTGTCTTTCCTGATTTGACTAATTTATTTTCCTCAATCAATCTGTCATTTAATATTTTCAAATCTCACTACTTGTAATCATTTTAGCCAATATCGATTCCATTATTTGAGGCGTATTAAATTTAAGTGGTATAACTTTAAGTTTAGCCCTTTTTATTATATTAGAATTTAATTTTTTTTAATGATTTTTTCAATTTAATTTGATATAAATTATATTTTTATTTTCAATTATCATGATGATGAGTTGATATGATTATTAATATGAATTTTGCTAATAACGTAAAAATTTATGCTGCTATTATTGACGTTGATATAAATCATCCCATTCACGTCATATTACCATTGATACAATCATTTTTAAAAAAAAAATACAATCAAACGTATTAGAACGTTTATAAAAAATTGGTAAAGGTTCTTTCAAAAAAAAAGTAAAGGGATTAATTCTCTAAATAATTGATAGGGTGGGACTCTTTTTATTAAAATATATTTAGAAATAAGATTAATAAATTATTTTATTGATGAAACAAATTTAAATTTAAAATATTTTTTTTAATTATTATACTTTTATTATCTGATTAATATGGATCATTATGGTATTTGATTTATTGTAATAGTCCACATCATGCTCATTAATATTTGATTAGAAAACAGAATTATGGTATTTGATTAGGAGGAGGAGGGGGAAAACGGATTGGAATGGGTGGGATCCACCACAACCACAAGTGTTTACTTTGCTCCTTAAAGCAAACCCAAGGCTGTCGGTTTTTCTCGGCTGTCACTGTCCCTCTCCATTGCTTTGAATTTAAAATTTGAAAATCCATTTTGGTACTTTGAAATTTATGCAAATAAAGAAAAGACAAAAGACAGCGAAGTTGAGTAGAAAACACACAGACGTGGCAGCCTAATTGTTGTGTCCTGGCCCACAACACTTTGGGTTTCGTTTCCCCCATCGGCTCTGCAGATTATTACAAGGTTGGTTTAATATTATATTATTCTTATGGAACAATGACAAAAATCTTTCTTCGTTCAAATAAAATTCAATTGATTTCGAGCACCCCATCCTCTCCACTTGACCGAAAGACAACGTTTCGGTGCATTGGAAGATATGTTTAGGGATTGGGCTTTCTTAACCATTCTATAAATGTTTTGTATCATTCTTAAGAGCAACACGAGGGTTTTGGTTTAATTGTTTCTCTAACTCATTATCAAAGTCCTTGGCGTCTCTTTTGCTTTGGTTTCAATATTTCTTAAAGAGACTGTTGATGGGTCAAATTTAATCTTTGATCTCCTCTTTTAGTCAAATTTAATATAAGTTGAGCTTAGGGAGTGATTAAATGTTAAAAGAGGATTGTTTTCTTTAGATAATCCCAGCATTGTTTGCAGATTTAATTTATACCAAACTATTCTAAATGCAGGTAGCTTTGCTCTATTCTCCTTCGAGATTTCAGCCATGCCCATGCCATTGGATTCTTCTTCTTGGCTGTTTTGAACTTGCCCCTCAAAGTTATGTAAATTTATTAAGCTAAAGGATACAAGAAATAGACATGATTAAGTCACAATTAGTTTACTCATATGCAACCGACTTCAATCGTTAAAAGAACGATTGTTATTTTTAGAGATTTCGAATTCGAACACGTCATTTACAAGAGTGTTTGAACATTCATTATCAAAAGATGAAGACTCTTTTTAAATATTATCTTATATTAATAAAAAATAATTAACTTACATATTTAGATTAAAATATAAGAGAGATATATTACCAATAAACAATAATTAGTACCGAAGAAGACTAGTTAATGCATAACGTACCCAATTAGCATAGTGAACATATTTCTTAATTGATGTCCGGGGAAGGCATTCTAAATAAGGATGGATCGAAGGGGTAGCGGATGGAGTTAGTCGCTCCTAAAAATTCAAAATTACCATATATTTTAGATTGTTCTATATATTTTCTATTTAAAATATTAAATTATAATTTCTATTAATTTTGAATTGTACTTTCATTGTAAAGTAAGATATTGGCATCTATAAACAATTAATTATAAAATATTTTAATAATATTTTTATTATATTAAACAAATATATAAGTTTGATTAGAGAAATAATCCTCTATAAAAAACTTGGAAATGAGAAAGGTCCGAAATGAATTAGGGAAATGGGATCATTGCTACAGTTGAAGTCGAAGTGGGCATATTTTTTGCGGATGATATCGTTGAAGTCTTTATGTCCCGCCGGCTACTTTCTTCAATTTTTTGATTTTATATTTTGGGACTGAAATGAAAAAAATGAAACTTAAAAGACTAAAACATGATGTTCAGAAAACTATAACCTTTAAAAGATGATTTCAAAGGTCGTCACTCGTCATGGCAGCACTTTCGTTCCCTTAAATGAGATTTTTTTAAAATTACATTTTCTATTATTATTTTTTTCCATTTGAATCTCAACATTATAAATTTAAAAAGACAAAAAGGCGTTAGAACCCCATTACTTTAAAAAAATTAATGTGATATTCGTATTATTTTTTTCTGAATATGATTCTGTAATTTAGAAAATAAATATAATATAATATTTTGTCTGACATTTTTTGTTGTTAATCATTATAGTACTAACGTATCAAATATGAGGATCACATTATTTTTTTTAAAACACATGAATCTTTGATACCTTCTTGTAAATTAAAAATTTTAAAGAAAGCTGTAAGCATGACATGATGATTTATGCAATATCCCGATAGGAGGTGATGGCTCTAACTTCCGGCATAACAGTAATGTTATTTTCCTAATTAATTTCCGACTATCCTCATTTCTCAAATTTTTTTTATCACTAATCTTATTTTCTTAATTATTTTCCTAAAGATATACATCATAAATTAAAAAAATAATAATTAAACACATAGGTACAAGCTGTATCGAGAGAAACTAATGCATATGGGTTGACAGGTAGGATCCAAGTGACACCCATTATCAAATTGGTCTAATACATAATAATAAAATCATTGTAATCTAAAAAAAATGCAAAAAAAAAAAAAAAAAATTGAGCAAAATAAGTAAATAAAAATGGAAAGAAATAATACAACTCCTCCAATTCGGTTTTAATATGCTTCGGTATTTTGTTGGTATAAAGTTCAAGAAAATGATAATGAGAATCCGTGTGCAATCTTTTGCATACAGCTGGGTACGAGTACGAGAAATAATCTCATACTCGAGAGACAGCCTAATTACTTCAACTCAATATGGAACATTACGCCCAACACATATTACTGCAACTCAAGAAGAGAGATTAAAGGAGCAATGCTTTATTCATCGTGTAAATCTTTTCTACGGATATTGTATTTATACACTAGTAGAAACAATAACAACCATGCAACTAACTAACGGACAAAGATGAGCTGGCATACAAAAAATATCAGCCAAAGAATAACTTATATATCTTTTACCCTACTTTTTCCTTCTTCAACTTCTTCTAATGACAGTACCCCCAACTTGTGTCTAAAACAAGCAAAATACTCCTTCGTTAAAGGCTTAGTGAAGCCATCTGCAATTTGGTGTTCTGAGGGCACATAATTCACCTTCAGCTTCTCTGCCGCCACTTTCTCTCGAACAAAGTGAACATCGAGCTCCACATGTTTGGTTTTGGAATGATATACAAGATTTGCACTTACTGCTATCACTCCAGTATTATCGCTCCACACAACAGGTATATCTCGAACGTGCACCTTCATATCCCTTAGCAAAGCATCTAGCCACGTTATATCATAAGCAACATCTGCCAAACTTCGATACTCTGCCTCGGGGGTAGATCTCGACACCGTTTTATGTTTCCCTTGAGTTCCACATTACTAGATTGCCATCCGAGTAAACACAACTTCCAGAAATCGATCTTCCATCGTCAATACTTCCTCCCTAATTTGCGTCATCTATGGGTGCAGATGACACACAAATTTACGTCATTGAAGCCACCGACATAAATCTAAGATGACACGCAATTGTACGTCATAAATCAATGACACACATTTATGACGCGCATTTATGACTCTCATTGCATATCATTAAAGTCCCGTCATAAATGAAGACGACACACATTTGTGTCTCATAAATTTATGACACGCATTTATGACTTACATTACGTGTCATTGAAGCACACATCATTAGAAAATATGACACGCATTCGTGTGTCGTGATTGTATGTCGTAAATTATATATATATATTATATATTGACAAATAATCAAACTAAATCACATTTAATGTCTCATAATACTAAATATATATATCATATTATATATAAGCAATCAATTTGCATACAATATATTAACATTAAGTTATCAAAAATATTGTAATCATATGTCGATTACAAAATATCACGGCATAATAAAGTTTTCCACATAAGATACTCATTCTTTGCGAGTATTATCAATGTCATCATCCGAGTATTCTTCCTTTCCATCGCCAACCTAAGTAAAAAATATGAAATAAGTATATAATTTATACTTATTTAAAGTGAAATATATAAATATCAAAGAGTACTAAAATGACTAATTTTAATCATAATAATAAGATTATTGCAAGTATGGAAACAAATAAAGTAGTTTAAAATAAGCAAAAAATAAATAAAGTAAGAACATTCACAAGAACTTACCATTTTATCAACAACAATATGGACATTCGGGTTATAACCTCCTTTTTTCCATTTGTCTTGCTTTTTTCCACAACAATGCTCTATCAATATCGTCTTCCTCCTTTCCCGTTTCTTGCATCTAAATTAAAAAAAATAACAATAATGAATTAACATAAACAAATGAATATCTAAACTATTCAATTAATTTACTACATGCAATCTCAAGAGGACCTGAAATTCTCTTTGGTATCCAGTGGCTGACGTCAGTACCATGACCAAGTAGCCCAGCATTGTGAGTTCCATCTCCCCATGAATAAAGTTCTCCAGCCATTGTAACAGCACAAGGAATTCACCACAGGCGACAAAATCAACACTAGTGACAGCCAATGATTCAACAATACGAGGTTGAATAACATCCGTTCCAACACCATGGCCAAGTTGTCCTCCAGATTCTTCACCCCATGTAAAAACTTCACCTTGCCTTGTAACTAGGGCAACATGCTTGACCCCCAGGCTACATGGTGTACATCTAAAACTACATTATACTCTAAAGGCCTGGGAAGAAGTACATCTGCCCTCATGCTCAAATAATTGGCATTCTTATCAGCAACGACCTTCACAGCACTATCAAAGATAACTTCACCCCATATATACACATCCCCTAAAGCATTATAATCATCCGGTGTAGAACCATGACTAGAAGTACTTGGGGCACTAGAAACACTAACACGAAAAGCATATGAACCAGATCCTTTTACATCCATATTTGTGCCTTCTGATGCTGCATGTGACCTTTTAGAATGAAAATAATTATCAGGTTGTGAACTCTTAGGTGAAGTGTTAGGGTTAAAACTGACAAAAACTTCAGGGGAACTAATATCTCGAGTGGCACTGACAGAACTGTCACTTGCGCTATTTGATGTCAGATCTCTGCCATCCTGGAACCAGTCAGGGATAAACATTTATGGTAAACATGATTAACTGTAGCTATAATAGTAGCACAGTTTAAAAAAAATTAAGCATAATTTTTTTAGGCCTATAAATGAAATAATTTTAATAACTAGGAATAAGCCACTGAAACCTTAAATACAAAGTTAACCCACCTAAATTTGTCAAACAACCAAGTAAAGGTGTCTACATAAAGACTTTATTCTTGTTCAGGAAGAGCTGAAAAGATAGTTTTGGTCTTGATTCACGACTAACCAATAATTCAAGGCAAATTTTTCTCGCATTTTGAACATGTAACAACAGCAATACCTAATATGGATTACTCGGCCAATGAGACGAATACCAGTGGTTATATCAAAAATAAAATTATATACAACACTTCATCAAACAGAAAAAAAACACAAAGACTAGTCATAAGAAGTCAAAAGAAGATGGAATTACATCAAGGTAAAGGCCTCCATCATTCCAGCCATCAATTTTGGAGCGTCCACTCTGACCAGAGGAAATTAATGTTTTGAGGCCTGCAATCCACACCTCTGCCTCAACTTTTTCCTTGCAAATCTAGAAGCCAACCATGCATTAAATTAAGAACAGACACATATAAGAGAATAAAAAATATAAACAATATCTTATCATCTACCTACAAACAGAATATCAAAGTTCAATGGTGTCCCGATTTAACCAGACACCAACTCAATCAAGAACACAACTTAAGAAATTAATTAACACAATAGCATCAAGGTCATGTCAGCACTTCGATATTTCAAAATAATACACTCTTCTTCTAAACAAACTACCTAAAATTTCTTTTTCTTTTCCTAATATAATGGGTGTACATGTTTCTAGTCATATATTAAAATAAAAATGCAACAAAAGGAACATAAAGATCTTACAGTTCTTTGTCCAGGAATTATTTTAGAAACTAAGGATAACTTCAAACTTCTTTCACGACTGCTTGAAATCCAGATTAGAGTTGTTTCATCCTGCAATTTAAAAAGAGAACAGTTGATAAGTGCAGAAATTTGTCAGTTAGATTAAAATAAAGTTTAAAAAAGGAAAGGAAAATAAAAACAGAGTCATTAAATATTTGTCAAGTTAGGAACAAAAGATACCAAATCACTGCATACTTGTCTCTATTTTCACATCATCTAATAAAGCAGAAAAGAGTACTATCCACACATGAAAAGAATGTAACAGAGGTTTCAAAAGTTGGAACCAAACTTACATTAGAAAGTCTAAATGGACAAAACTTAGGCTTTCCCTTGCGTCCATATTTCAGAAGCTGAGCAACCTTCTTCAAAGCTATTAATGCCTACATAAGGTACAAAGATTATTTGCAGAAGGATAAAAACATCAAGAAATTAATTTCATGATCAAAAAAATTTGCAGCCTAATAAAGCATGCACCTTCCAAATTCATTAACTAAAGCTGCCAACCATTTTTTTTTCCGGTTCTAATAACCAATAAATAACACAAAATTTCAACATTCTCAAGCACAGTGCTGCAGATTCTCCTAAATCAGATTCCAAAAAAAAAATAATCTTCCAAGCAATGTAAAGTCTCCAAAAAACTAGAAATAAGAAACCTAATGCTACACTTAAAGATTCCAAAAAATAGAAGAAAATCCAAAATTTCCTCCAGATAACCCTTCGTTTCTTCCCATGATCAGAAAATTTGAGGGAAATTTTGAATGTGAAACAAAGTTAATAACGAAATTGAGAATACGAATAAAGTATAAACAAAATCTTAAAGGTTAACTATAAAACAAAAAAAAGTAGAATGGTAAAAGGGAAGACCTGGTCGATGTCATGTTGGGCATTACAGTAGCTAACAAGATCTGCCATTCCATTACAAACGCCACCGCCTTTTATGATCGCTCCCCGGAGCTCCGTTCACCATCTGCAACTACCACCTCTCCTACTTTCTCTTCACTTCGCTCCTCTTTCCCTCCGACGCTTACCATCCAAAATAAAACAACGCTTCAACTCTCCATTCCGAAACAACTAACGAAAACCAGAAGCAATTCCTTTAGCAGATCTACCGTGATATCTGATCCTTCAACACCGAAATCCCAGCATTCACCTCTTTCAATGAACCATTCTTTATGAAGAATAGCAGAAGAAAAAAACGTGAAAGTACAACCAGAAACCGTAGAAGTAACTAAGTATCAATAGCAAGTAACACCCAAAACAGAGAAACAAATGATGGATTAATTGAAAAAGATTAAAAAGAAGTTTATTACCCTTTGACATTTTACATCAGCAAGCTTCTTTATCAAATGTGTTTCCCTTCGGGTAAAGTTGTGGTGAATAGGAGGCCAGAACTAGAAGCGGGAAAGGATGAAAATAATGGGAGAAATTAAAAGATGACTTTTACAGATGACACACAATTAAAAGTGCACTACGTGTTTTTGTTAAATTTTTTGGATTATGACTATTAAATATGACACATTATTGTAAGTCATAAATCGTTCAAATTTTAAAAAACATTATATTTTTTATGACACATTTTTTGTAAGTCATAAATTAATTTGTGTCATCGTTCGTGTGTCATTAAAAGTATGTTTTCTTGTTGTAGTGAGTTCCATTATATATTTCTTTTGACTGAGAAATATTGCCCCATGGACACATAGTACCTCAACACCAAGAAAATAATTGAACACTCCTACATCCTTTAGTGAAAATTTCTCCCCAAGCAGCCTTACCACATTCTCAACGTCATCGTTCAGTCCCTCTATTACAATTATATCATCTATATATGCTAACACATATTTACTCCCATTTTCTGTAAGTTTGATTAATAGTGAGCTATCAGCTTGAGAGCTCTTGAAACCGATATCCACCAGATAATCTCTCAACTTGTTATACCAGTTGCGTGGTTCTTTCCTTAGACCATATAAGGCTTTTCTAAGCTTGCAGACCAGTAGCAATCCATCGGTTGCTCTCGCTTCAAACCCATACGACTGCTCCATAAAAATATCTTCCTGAAGGTTACCGTTTAAAAAGACGTTATTCACGTCGACTTACCGTAAACTCCACTTGTTTCAAGCAGCTAATGTTAACACAACATTCACCGTCGACAACTTGACCACCGGACTAAACGTATCTTGAAAGTCTTGTCCAAGTGTTTGTGAGAACCCCTTCGCCACTAATCTAGCCTTGTGCCTCTGTACTGAACCATTTTCAACCCACAACAATCTTCCCTTTCAGTAGAGCTACTAACAACCAAGTATCATTCTTCACTAATGCTTTATACTCAGCAAGAATAGACGCCTTCCACGTTGGAGATTTAACGGCTTCATGCACTGATACAGGTTCCTCATTATCACTTATTTGTTCACCAGAGTAAATTTTTGGTTTAAAAATTCCTCACTTGTTGCGAGTGAGCATGTGATGACCATTCACGGGTATTGACACTGGTCCGTGATTGTCAAGCTCAGATGGGAGTTGACTAACACACTCATCTCTAGTGTGCGTCTGATCAGTGAGAACAATATCCCCTATTTCTCTAGATTGACTATTCACGGTAGCTACAAGTTCAGTCTCCGCCATACCTTGTACGACACCTTCCATCGACTACTGAGCCTGAGACACTTTCTCTTGCACGACATTTCCCATCAACTGCTGAGCCCGAGACACTTCCTCTGCAGGAAGCGACAAATTTCTTGTTGCTAAACTCGAGACATCCTCTTCAATGCTTGACAGCTTAACCTGATTTTCAGGAGTTGAATTAAACCCCATGCATACTCGATGTGCACCACGAGCCAAAGGTAATTCCACTGGAACCTTATTTTGTCCAGTGTTAACTTGTTGTTGTCCCTTATTAGCAATTCGGCAATTCCTGCAAATAAAAAAAAGTTGTCATTAAAAATATCGTGTCTCGATATATACAATATGCCATCTGAATCCATATATTGGTAACTTTTGTGCTGTGGGTTGTACCCCAAAAAAGTACAGGGTTAAGATCTAAAACTCAGCTTGTGATCTTGATAAGGTCTTAAGTGTGGGAAGCAACTGCACCCAAATACTTTCAAATAACCATACAACATTTCAAACGGTGACTTCTCGTGTAACACCAATGGTATCCGATTTATGAGATGAACCACTGTGCTAACAGCATATGACCAGAATCGAAATAGTAACAATGTTTGTGCTAACAACACTATAGCTGTCTCAATAATATGGCGATGCTTTCTCTCAACGACAATATTCTACTCAGAGGTGTGTGGACAAGACAGAAGATGAATAACACCCAGCGTTTTTAACCACAAGTTAACCGTTCTATACTCACCTCCTCAGTCACTTTGTAGCTCTTTGATTGTTGTATTGAACTGTGTTTGTACCATACTGTAAAACATTTGAAAGGTTTGTAGAACTTGATCCTTGGTCTTAAGCAAGTATACCCAGCAATGTCTATTTCAAGCATCAACCAAAGACACATACTAGCGAAACTCATTCAAAACTACATGTGAAGGTCCCCAAACATCTGTAAATACATTTTAAAAAGGCTTATCATACACGTCGTAGACTTATTAAATGGCATCTTATGGCTTTTACCCATTCTACAAGGTACACAAAGGTAATATCAATTTTATTGATTTGAGAAGGAACCACAATTCCAATTTGTTTACATGTTTGCACAAGAACAGGATGCCCACAACTCTTCCCATGCTCTTGTCCAGTGTCAAATTGATAAAGCCGCTGTATTCTCGTCCTTTCAACAGCGCATCTTCAGTCATCTCATCTTTAACTAAGCAGGAATTGGCATAGAACTCAAAATAGAAGGAACATGTAACAAATTGTTTAGAAACAAAGCTCATGAATTGGCACTTAACAAAGAACTACCAGACTTAACAATATCTAGATTATGACTGTTTCCTATAACCAATTTACCTGGTCCAGTGTAGTCAGAGCAATTGACAACTTGGTGGCATAGGGGGTTACATGGTGTGTTGCCCCCGAATCAACTATCCACTAATCAGAACTAGGAGAAGCTATATGAGCTTAAGCATGAACACCAGCATTGTACGAGGAACTTTCATCCACAACACCAAGATTAGCTGATGATGCCTCATATTTGTTTGCCAGAACTCCAGGAAACACTTTATCAAACTGATGCCAACATCGATCGACAAAATGCCTAATTTTACCACAAAGCTGACACTGCAATCGTGCACGTCCTCGACCACACTCTCCAGATTGGCCACCATACTGCTGGTTATGACCATCATACAATTGGTTTTGGCCACCATACTGATGGTTCCTGTTGTACTGGTCATTATGATTGTGACCTTGACCACTTTGAACCCTAGCCGTATTTGCACTTACAAGCATATGACTCTGAAGCTGAAAACCACTCAGTTGTGTTTCAGCATCTACCAAGATGGATTTAACACCATCAACGGAAAATATATCTTTGCTAGCAGTTATCATCGCCATAAATGGTTGGTATTCAAACGACAAACCATTTAGAATGGTAGCAATCTGCTCAAGATTAGTTACAACACTCCCACACGCTGCTAGAGCATCACATACTTCTTTGATCTTGGTAAGATAAGACCTAATAATATCATCACCTTTCTTGATGGACCTTAGCTTACAATGTAAGCTCTTCACACTCTTTGTTGATCGATTGGTAAAAAACTATTACATCGTAACCCAGACTTCAGTTGCTGTTTCAACACCCACAAACTAAGGCAGAAGTCGATTACTAACAATCGAGAGCAACCAAGATGCTAATGCACTATCTTTTGCAACAAAGATCTTATAGTCAGTATTAACACAAGATTACATTCAACGTCAAGAACCCTTTCTGGTGGTGGTTGTAGTTCTCCATTAAGTAACATCTCCAATCGATGACTTCGAACAATCGAAAGAACTTGTTTCTTCCACATCAAAATGTTAATTTCATCCAAAATGATGTTGTTTCTCTTGTTTGTGAAAAGTTTGCCGCCAAGATCAAACGCTGAAGTAGCATTACTATCAACCATCTTGAGTTAGCACATGAACATAACTTAATCAAGGAAAATGAAAGAAAAATACAAGCAAGAAAATGGCAGGGCTTGAGCGTGCAGTGGAGGAAGGAAGAAAGAAAAGAAGCAGAAAAAAAGGCTCCAAGATCAACAAGCAAATGATACCTTATTATGAAAACTCAAAATAAGAAGAGAGATTAAAGAAGCAATGCTTTATTTATCGTGTAAAGCTTAGATATTGTATTTATACACTGGTAGAAACAATAACAACCATGCAACTAACTAACGGGTAAAGATAAGTTGGCATACAAAAAATATCAGCCAAAGAATAACTTCTATAGCGTGTTTGGCAAACAATTTTTGAATAGATTTTATTTTATTTGTGTATAAATATTGGTGTATTTCCCGAACAATCACCGGTGATCGGTATATTTACCGATTTAACACCGGTTAGATTATATTTCACGATCTAATACCCGTAGCAGTAAAGCGCGTCATCTGAATCGCGCTATATGTTGATTTGGCACCACGTGGGGTATAGCGCGCCCCTTGTACCGCGTTATAGCTGACATGGGTTACACGTGTGTATAGCGCCCTCCTTATCCGCGCTATACGCCACGTAGGGGTATAGCGTGGATCAGGGGCCGCGCTATACGCCACGTAGGGGTGAATTATATTTAACGCGGTCCCTGATCTGTGTTATATCTTTTATCTGAATAATTACATATAGCGCGGTGCAGGTACCGCGCCTTATATGGTTATAAATACCCTCCTCCGCCGATTAAGTTTCTCACATCTCCTCGCATCTCTCCTCTCAACTTATAAATTAATACAATAATTCCGTCAACGAGTAATAATT